CTTCTGGGAGTTGTAGTCCAATAACATATGGGGATCCAAGGTTGGGAACCACTGTTTTAACTGCTACAATATGCTACCGCCCTTCCTCATCTGTTTCTAGGCTGTGTGTTAGAAAGAGCTCCTTTGTTTCAGTTTTAAGCCCTGGCTGTTTGTTAGGCAATACCCTAAAAATGCAAGCTATTATCCTGCAAACAGAGATACCACCACTTCAGATTTTACTCTGATTTTAGTTCTACCACAAACCAAAATATAATGCTAATTAACCTTTTTGGCTTGGTATAATCCAATTCTGAAGAACCTGTATTCTTCCAGATATTGCTGGATTTACATAATTTCCCATCAGCCCCAAGTATCCTGTCCAGGAGTGAAGGATGATGCCAGTAGGAATTAATCAGCCACTAATGGCACCATGCCCCCACCATTAGCCTGGTTTCTCTATCTCTGGTGTAATACATACCGAGATCACGGATAGGAATGCTGAATATTTTTAAAAGGCTATAAAAATGCTAATCATTATGTTTATACTGGTAATTATACTATTGTAACATTCTAGTAAAAAAAGAGGTGCAATAATATATGATGGGCAGGATGTGCTTGTAAAGGGGTGCAACAGTATGTCTTTCTGTAACCCATTAAGATCTCAGCCAAAAGTGGCTGAAAAGTCAGACTGTTGTTGCAGAAACCAGAGCTCATAATTTGCAGAGGGATTTTTAATTTTGGCCAGGAGAGACATTAAATTTTGCATAGGTCCAGACCCCACTTTGAAAGCTGTGAATCATTAAGTAATGGGGTAAGCCACTAACGGCAACAATTTTAAGTAAACAAGCTTTCGGCTGCAGTTTGATTAAGAATGTGGTGGAGCTTTGGGAAACTGGTCAATAAACTGTTTCTTTAAACTCTTTCCACCCTTTGTGCAAACTAAATCGGTTGCTTAATCGAATGATTGCGATAAACTAATTAAGATTTCTTTGACTGGGTAACACAGACCAAGTATCACTGGGAGATGGTGTGTACTAGCACACAGCACAGGCAAGATTAGAAATTAAAAAATGTGCCAAGTGCAGCTCATGGCTTCTCAAATAAGAACTGCCCCTAAGGGACACTGTGACACCAGTCAGTATAGCTGGATGATCCAGTACGTTCTGGGAACCAGATGGAGCAGCCCCAGACTGGCTCCACCAGCTACCAAATTGTCATATCTGAGCCGAGATGCTATTAATAAACCCAGATTCCTGGTTTCTGGGATTCTGGTGGTCTCCTAGCAACCAGGAATGTGATGACGGTACCTTTGGCCAGGTGCAACCCGGAGCAAGGTGGATTTGACTGTACAATGTTTGCTTGCAAAGTCTGACGGCAAGCAGAGAGTCATGCAAGTAACACCTCAAAAGGAAGCCGTTTCATAAACAGCAAGTGAAGGCCTTTGAACGCGTTCCCGGGAGGCAGAAGCACGCCAGGAGAGGGAATGCTACTTTGAACTCTTGACTTGATTTGAGAATATTCATTTTCCAATTTGTTAAAAAAAAAGAACAATAATTCCTCGGTAAACCGACATACACGAAGCACTGCTCTCTGTAGACAAAGGAGTGCTTCAGGACGGGATTGCATGTCGGTTTACTGAGGAATTATTATTATTAGAGTTTTAACAAATTGGAAAATGAATATTCTCAAATCAAGTCAAGAGTTCAAAGTAGCATTCCCTCTCCTACGTAGACATCTATGTCTGGCTAGCAATCCACCACATCTGGATTGGTTCCAAGCTGAGGAAGCTGTAGACCATGCTTCCTCAGGTTGGAACCAATCCAGATGTGGTGGATTGCTAGCCAGACATAGATGTCTACGCAGACCCGCGGTTCCCAATCTGGGGTCCCCAGAGGTTCTGGACTTATAACTCCCATAGATCCGGGCCAGCCCAGCTCGTATTGAAGGCTGCTGGGAGTTGTAGTGCAAGAACCTCTGGGGATCCGAGGTTGCAAGCCATGGTGTGTGTGAGAAAGACTGATTTAAGAAATACAGTAGGTAGATAGCTAGATAGATTTTAAACGTTGACAGATTTTTTTAAAAAGTAGATAGAATATGTTGGAAGCTGCCTAGAGTAGTCGCAATGACCAGATAGGCGGGGTATAAATAGAATGAATGAATGAATGAATAAATAAATAAATAGATTTAAAAAGTAAACAGGTACAGTAATAGATTTTTAAAAATAGGTAGGTAGACTGTAGAAGTAGATAGATAATATTTCATGATTTTAGAAACAGGTCTTTAAAAGGATAGATAGATAGATAGATAGATAGATAGATAGATAGATAGATAGATAGATAGATAGATAGATAGATAGATAGATAGATAGATAGATAGATAGATAGATTTTAAAGGATGGAGGGATGCAGGCGATGGATAGTTTTGCCCGTCCCACGTTAACCCTCAGGATCAGAGAAGGAAGGCCAACAAGTAGCCTCAGGTGATTGCAATGAACCATCAACCCGCTTTTCCAACGGCTTTCCTCTCAAACTCCCCCCTCTCCCGCTTGCTTGATTGGCGACTTGTCTGGGAGACCCCTCAAGGCGGACCCACCGTCCCCAACGGAGCTGCGACCGACTGCGGCCATCCGTGGCAAGGCCCTTCTCCTTCTCTCTCTCTCTCTCTCGCTCTCTCTCTGTGACACCTCACCACTGGGTACAGGGAATCCCATAAAGTTCTGTCTGTTGGCTGTAAAAATTCAACTGCAATAGTAATTTGCTGCCCTTTTTTTTCACCCCCCGCGGATTTTTTTTTTTTTAATTATTTATTTTATTTGTGTATGTATGCATTTATTTATTTGCCCTCGAGGGAGGGAGGAGGGGGGGAGAAAAAGGAAAGGAAGCCGACGGGCGTCGTGAGGTAAACTTATAAATGTATTTATTATTTAGAGGAGTTGTATGCCCGCCTTTCTCCTCATGTAGCCAAGGCGGCTGACTGTGTTTAAAAAAAAAAACAATAAAGGGGGCAGAGGCCGTGCTGGGGAAAGTTCCTGAGGTAATATACTGTATAGGGGGAGGGATATTGTCACTTTTAACAGGCTGCTCCGAAGACTCCCTTTGAGGAAACGGGGCAGAGGTAAAATGAACATGAACTAAAATAAAATAAAAGTGGGAGGGAGGGGGAGAACAGGAGAGGGAACTTTTTTAACACGGGGCTGCCCCGTTACTGATGTGAAAATAAAAAGGGAGGTGAGGAAGGCCAAAGAAAAATATTTCCTCAGGAGCAGCAGCCCGCCCGCCTGCCCCTAAAAAAGGGCGGGAGATTCCTGAGGAAAGGCTAAGATAAAATGAGGGTGAGGGGATACTGAGCTCGAGCACATTCCTGCATAGCTTTTCTGAGGCGATGTGTCTCTAAGGAACGAAAGCTCATATTAAAAAGATAACAGTCTTTAAGGGGCCACCATGTTTTTGTCTTCTTTATTTTTAATTTTTACTTCCTTTTACCCGAGGTGGTGAAGAAGAAGAAAGGAGAGAAGGGCTTTCTGAGATGCTGCTGAGGTAAAAAAAGGGCAGAAACAAAAAAAGACAGGTTACTTCCTTTTACCCGAGGTGGTGAAGAAAAAGAGAGACGGGCTTTCTGAAATGCTGCTGAGGTAAAAAAAAAAAAAAGAAGAAAGAAAGGCAGAAACAAAACAAAAAAAGACAGGAGGTAAGCAGAAAATAAAATTAAAATAAAAAGTGGAAGACTGGACTCTAAACCCAATGTTGGTAAAAGAAAGCAAGAAAGGGGCATAAGAAGCATCCTTGTGAAGACATGTAAGTTTTTTTTCTTTTTTTCTCCAGGATGGATTTTATATAAATCAAATAGATTTAAATCACAGTTTTATTTAGACAGTTTAAAAAGACTGATTTTTATGATTTACAGCGATTAAAAAAAATAATAGATGTTTATCCAGGTGGTTTTAAAAAAGGAAAGAAAACAGGGCAGGGGAATAGGAGAAGGCTACCTGAGATCACATCCTGCTACTAGGATTTTATAGGGTTCAAGAGCAGGTAGGAAAACAGAAGCGCTCCCCATGCCTTTTCCAAGGAGAGAAAAACCCATCCCTTTTATAGCAAATGTTGTGCCATGTAAATTTGCCTATAAAAATGGAACTTTGCATGACTAGTTTCTCCTCTTACCTTGCTCTTCAGTTATGAAATACACAGTAAAATGTAGGGTATCTACAGTATGAGTTTCATCCCCCTTTCATAATAGCGGTATAGTTATGATTACTATGCCAAATAAAGAATTATTTCATTCTTTCTTTATGATCAAGGAGAGACTTTTCTGAGTCTTTTTTTCACCCTGAAAATGCAATGGCAGGTCTGTAAAACGCATTAAATATCGCAGTATATTTCAATTGTTCTGGTCTCCCCTCCATTATTTATTTGCTTTCATAAAGTTTTATCTTCCTCTTCCTTCAGGTCATGTCCCAGAACTGTCTGAAATTAATACTACTGAAAATACAGTCTATATTAAATTTAAATGACAAAAAAACCATCTACCTAAGGATTTAGCCACAATAATTTGAGAAGGGAAGAAATGAGGTCGGAAGGCCAAAATTACATAGGACTTTTTATTTAAAAAAATCAATGTACAAGTTTTTTAAATTTTTAATAAAAGGAAAATAAATCTGGAGGGAAATCAAAAGTTACAAATAATAAAAACAATCCAGATCACTTTAGCAGCCATTGCAAAACTGTACAAATCTATTGTGGTAGGAGATGTCTGCACAATCAATAGTAAACATTCCAACTTGATCAGTTTTCTCCCCACTACATTATATACTTCTAAATTACTGCATTACTGTTTAAAAAAGTGGAGGTTCATATTTTTCAAAACATCCACTTTTAAGAAGTGAGCTTTGACATTGTACATCTGGCCCCCAATAAACCACTTCTTATTGACTGCAAGATCTATTAAGTACCCAGAACCCCACAGTTTGTTATTATAGTATTATTTTGTTATTGTGATCCATCATCTGTGAGTGGTTCAGTTGCTTGGAAACAGTGTTGGAGTAGGAAACACTACCCCGGATCTTTACGATCACAAATGCATAAACAAAAACTGATCTCAGGTGAACAGCTGGAACAGAAAATTACTTTTTCTAAAGGATTATTATCTATCTCGCCAAATATGCAGTTTAAAGTGAATCATGTCATTTGAGTACGTGAGTCAGTTTTAAATAATTGTTTTTCTAGCACGCTTGATAACAAAAGACCCACGCTGGCTTTGTGGATCAGGTAATTCTACTGAATTCCCAATATGAGAAAACTTTTAATGTGCTTGGGCTTAGAATTTTCAGAGTATTTATGGGGAATCTGTAGTATGAAAACATACAAGCAATAATTATAGCCAGGAAACAATGGGACAAGTGACCTCTTTCTTACAAACACACTTCAGTTGCCGCCATTGTCATGGACTTGTCTGTTTTGCCAAAATTCAAGTTATTGCAAAGTGACACCTTGCTGATGATATAGGGGAGAAGCAGCTTTCTACCCCTGGACGTACAGGATCACATTCTTGCAAATATGTTAGACAAGTGGCATATGCACAAGTAAGATGGTAGGTCCACTGTTGACACTGTACAGTTACGTCTCAGAGTCCATGCATAGTAGCTACCTAAAGGTCAGTCCTTGACCTTTTCACAGTAAAGAAATGGGGTGGTGGTGTCCACCCCTAATCCTGGCATATTTGTTTTCCTCCAGCAATTACAGCAGGAGGAAATGACTTCCATGCCATCAGTACCAGGCTTGGACCCAGGAGCACCTGCTCTGGAAAATCCAGTGTCATTTTGGAAATAGTATCCCTCATCACCACCAGAAGTTTAAACATTAAGGCGCAGTTACAGAATATGATGTGATAGAAGGGTAGGTAGCAAAGGCTAGCCTTTCAGGATCAGAGGACTTGTTTTAGAAAATAGTTTTTCTACCCTCTGTCTCCATCCTGGCCAAACTCCTAATCTTCTGCAACTCTTCCTAGAGGTATCTTCCCAAAAGTTACTTAGTTTGCCAGCAGCCTATCAAAAGCAATGGCTATGTAGGATTTAATCTTGCAGTATTTTCTGCAGGACATATTTCGTCTCTTTAAATAAATAAAAAATCAATTAAGTTCTAGGATTGCCTTCAGCAATATCCAAATTACCTATGCAGTTGACCATCACATCCTTCACAGTGACTCAGTTGAAGTGGAAAACAGCTATCCAGGCAGGAACCTGAACTTCTCCCTCTTTGAAAAAAAAAGTTTATTGCTATAACGAGAGAGACTGTAATGCCACATTTTAGGAGGGGAAACACAGCAAGACTGCGTTCTTCCCTGGTGTAAAAGCACATGTATGTGCAAATGCTGCAGTATTGATGTATGTTATGTCAACAATATTTCAGTTCCCAACATGAACCATACGGTTTGTCTCCAGTTCAGAAAAATACATTAGAAGTGTTTCCCCTCTTGGGACAAATCAACAATAAGGCACTTGGTGCAAGGCCTGGAAAGATAAAATAGGGATATCTGAAGTGGATATTTTTAAGAAAAATTAGGATGGGTAAAGCAGCCCTTTTGAAGATTTGATAGCACAGCTGTATTCTACCAAGCAGCACAGCAAAACACTCTAATACCCAGCCTTCTGGGAAACTGGGATTACAAAGGGAAAGTTCACATAACACATGGTCAGTAAGGTGTCCACGTGCAGGGACCAATGCTCAATTTACCATCCTCTAAACCCAGCTTGTGGAGAGAATGTGTCAGAACAACTGGGGATAAAAACAGAGAAATTAATAACTGTTCCAAACATGCTAACACTCATAAGAACCAAGAGAAATGCCTTGGTATGAGGCTTGTCCACATTTAATATCAGGCCCACTCAAAACAATTTCTGTCTTTGGTCATCTGGCAGCCTCTATGCTAAGTGAGGTTTACTAAAGCTTCTTCTGTCCCTTCTTTTCTGGGCTATATCAGATTTTTTAGCTCCCTCTGCACAGTGTTTCCAGACTCATGAAGGACACCTGGAAGTACACTTGCATTCAGATGGGAAGCAACTTACTGGCATCAAGTATCCAACCATGTGTCAGTATGTTGGAGTGGAGCATGCCTTGAAATCCATGGCAATGAGTTAGCTTTAGAAGATGTGCACAGAGACAGTCTATGAGAAGAACATATTGACAACTGTCTGTCTCCAACCCAGTTGCAGGGACCTCATTCTGAGCCTTGCTTTACTACTGCTTTAGGAATCAGAAATGGAGAAACAAGACAGAACATGATTTATAGCGACAGACACAAACGTGCATGCATAGCTGGTTATTCCAACAGCCTGGCTTTTCTCTTTTAAATTTCCACATTGAACACAGAAGCTTCTGTGGTAGAATTAACAGCTAAGAAGGCATGCATGATTCATGACTGCAAGCTAGCAAACGTACAACATTTATCTTGGCAATGCAGTTTTAGTTCCTGCTGGCTGTGAAACACTTTCTTCCTTTCAGTCATTAGGCAGACTTCACAAAGTGGGGCTCTCCAGTTTTTTCAGACTCCCATCAGTCCTAGCTGTTTTGCATGATGGGAGTTACAGCCTGGCATTATCTAGGGAGGACCAGATTATTACACTATGCAACCACTGTCCACTTCATCAAAACAAAGGACAGTGAAGTGCTGCAGATGCCTACCTGCCGCCCTGAATACCAGGTCAAGAATTTCCATTACAGACTGCTGTCTTTGCCCCTGAGGATTTGGTTAGGAATCACGTTCAGGGAAAAGAGACATGTATCTGAGAACATTCGTGGGAAACCTAAGAAAGAAGGCATGTCTGCAAGGGAAAAGCAGGAGCCAGTTTAGAGAATCCGGCAGAGAAAAAAACCAAGCCATTAAGAAAAGTTGCTCAACTGGAAAATCTCATACAGTCTCATCTACTTTAGGCACCTCCAAGAAGAATCAAATGTCCACCATCACAGGCAACAATGCAACAATCAACTGGATTGATAAGGCCACCTGAGCATCTGTATACTAGATGCCAACATGCATGTACTGAGTGGGGGAATCCAGCTGTCCCCCCAAGACATAGTCATTCATTTCCCCAGACTATCCTTTAACATTATTGCACATCCATTTCATTACACATGCAATCTACATACATACATAAGCCCTATATACATGAGCGAGAAAATTAAATTTTGGTTAAAAAATAGATGCAGAAGATTCTGTTTCTTAATCATTCACCAGTACCCTGAGAATTAGATTAGGGGAAGCTAGGTGGGAGGAAAGGTTAAATATATATATATCTTTCATTTTACACTCAACCTCCCTCCCAGAGGCCTGCTCCCATTGCTCCTTTGCAAGTAAAAATCAAAATCTTTCCTTCCTGTTGATAAAGAGGTCTGTTTTCTCTACAGGCATACAGCATGGTGTGGAGGTCCATCTGTCTTCTGGTTTCTTGCCAGAAGTTTACAGATGCAACAGTTTGCTGGATTTCAGTGTGTTAATTTGAAAGAGCTTTCAAGAGATAGCCGACAGACCATTCCTTTCCCTGCCAACAGACACAAGCAGAGGGTGCTAGCAAGAACTTGTCTGGAGGTTCCCCTCTGTCAACAGTGATGCAATGGAAGATGGGCCGTAAGCACTGTCAAACTCTTCATCTGAGCTCAAGTGGTCATCCTTCAAAGATGATTCAGCAGTGGAACGGGCTGCCTTGCGCCTGTATCAAAAGAAAAAGCAAACAAACATAAATTTGCATCCTGCTAGCAACATGATAAGTGAGAACATTCTCTGCTTCCAACTACAGCCAGGAGTTACGAAAGGTAAGGATTATAACTTGTTGCTAGTCCTCTAGTTGGCTGCCACTTCATACTGGGGTTCCATTAAGCTTTCATGGCCAGTAACTTGCCAGCTTCAGACTCTTCTGCTTTGCTGGATCAGCCCAGGATCCTGTTCTGAATGGGTGGCCTCTCCCAATCACTTGAACAGAGCTCATAAAACTAGGTACACAGTTTGCCCACAAATCCAATCTGCCAATCTGAGGTCTATCAGGCTCTCTTGGGCTTCCACCCTGAACCGTGCCAGTATGTCCAGTTATGAATTATGGAAACCAATTTCACGCAACAACTGGGAGGGGGAGGGGTGGGGGAGACTGGAGGACTGGGCTAAATGTCTTTACTCTCTCACACACACCTACTGCAGAAAAGAGAGACTCTTAGGACAGCTTTAAGTCTAACATGTTCTGTTTGGCTTGTTTAATGGACTTGCAACCCTTTCATTACTCTGGTCTCCGACTTCTTTCTGTCACCATTAAAACTAACAGTGGTTAAGTTTCTTAAGTGACTTGGACAGAGGACTTGTACATTAAACGATGGGTCAGTGTGTTACACACACATCAAAGAGTACGTCAGCATTCCCCCCCCCCCAGATATAGAAAAGGGGCATCTAAGTACACAAAGGGGAACAGCCCCTGGCTCCTTACCAGAGGTCCTTCTCCAGGGCCTTGACACGGCTCTGCAGCTGTTCATTGATCTCATGCTGCTCCTCCAGTTCCCGTTGGGCCTTTTTCCGTGCGGACTCCAGACGCTCAATCTCCTCCTCTGCCTCGTCCACTTGTCTCTTCAGCGCCTTCACCCGTAAGCTCAACTATGTAATTAAAAGGGAAGAGGTGCTAAGGTTTGCTTCCTGTTCGCTTTGGCTCCAGGAGGCCACCTAAGAAACTGCATAAATTGGAGGGGCCAGAGAAGACAGTGCAGGCCCAGTATTAGCTATTCTGACAGAAAGCAGCTCTCCAGAGTTTCAAGTACAGGACTTTCCCAGCCCTGCCTGGAAAAGCTAATGCGGACTGAACCTGGGATCTTTGCTGTGCAAATTCATTTCACCAATCCATTCTTGAAACCAGTTTTCTTTTTGTGGGTTTTAATAATGTTTGAACTGCAGAGCTGGAAGGAACCCTGTGGACCATTGAGTCCAGCCCCACTCAAGGAGGCACAGTGGGAAACTGAACTCTCAGCCAGGGACCTAAGCCAGTGAGCTATCTTGAGTGCTTGAAGCATGCAACAGATACCTCCCCAAGATTACTGGTGCCATTTTCTTATGGATCTGGCTCTAATACTTCCCTCTGCTACATGTGGCAGGAGAAAAGAAGCCAATAATTCTGCTCCTTTTCCAACTCACCTGGTCTTTTTGGTCGTTGACATGTTGCCTCTCATCATCAATCTGGATGGTAAGCTCCTTTACCTTGCGCTCCAACTTGCGATTTGAGGACACCAGCATACTCTTCTCTCTGAAAAAAGGGGAGGGCATGCATCAAGGCTTATCTAGTTCAACTGGTGTGTTTCTCATGGCATCAGTACACAGTGTAAAGGAGCCCATCATTAGATTGGCAACTTCCTGGGCCAGTTTTTGCTTGTCAGGGAAGGGAAGAGAAAGAGGACTGCGACAGCTGTAATAAAATTGACAGAGATTTGGGTCTGAGGCCTTGGCAAAATAATATGAACCCACAGAAACTTCAGATACATTGTTAACTCGAGTAGCACCTAAATAAAGGAGATTACTGATGGAACTCAAAATAGTAGGGTTCCGAATTGAACTAGAGAGAGGCTGAATGATTTTCAGCTGGTGCAACATAGAACCCCAGGTGTTCGCTTCCAGAGGAAGGTGAGGATATTTACCTCTCTTCAGCTTGGAGCTTGTCCTGAAGCTCTTGGATGTGTGACTCCAGTTGTGAGATGTTGGCGCTTGGCTTCTGGAACCCTTCAAAGCTTGTGAGGCGGCTTTTGAGGTCTTTGTTCTGGAAAAGTTTTTAAAATATGATTGAAAATAAAAGAAGGGAGTGACAGCATATGATTGATGAAGAATATCTTTGTGACCCAGAAGGTTTTAAGAAAGAACTTCAGAAACCAAGCTTCCCTTAGAAAATTAAGCTTTTACTTGCTCTCATGGCTCCAGAAGGAACAGTTAAAAAGGAACATTTTCACAATAAAGTGTTGGGACTGAAATGCATCTCTAAGCTCAACCGCTCACCACCCTCTTCTCTTAAACTAGAATACTAATTATCAAGTGTCAGACAAAGCACATTTACTCTGGAACAATCCTGTTTCTCACATATTCACTCTGGCATTCAAAATAGGTTCTAGATGACTGCAAGATATGTTTATTTTTTAAAACTGAGCTTAAATACCTTCTGAATTGATTTTTTAAAACAATATCTTCTGAATTGATTCTGTCAAGCAGTCCATTACATTTTTGATACAGGTACTAGAAAACCACGTAGTAGTTTCTCCTACCTTGAGGTATTTAATTTCTGTCCTACAAAGGAAAGGCTACCTCTTCTAAAATAGGTGAGAATGATTCCTCTATAATTCTATTAGGAAATAAGTGTTCTCCCTTTTATTCCCACAAAGGAACCAATGCCTGTTTGAAGATGGTGCCTCCTGTGTCATATGCATACATCACATAAAAAAAAACAAGGAAGTGCATTTTCTTCTAAGCTATTTATTTCATTCATATACTGTACTGTACCATGCTTCCTCCTCTTCTGTTGCTTGGAGCTTCACTTGCTGTCTTGAGTCATCAGAAACTATACATAATTAGCGAAGCAGCCTGACAAACACATACATTCTTGGAGGCCTCCATTCATTACAGGAGATTAGTGCTGGAATTTCTACAGTCTGGAGCCATTTCTTATACAAGTGATTTCATGAAGTCTTTGCACATCAGATGTATTTGGATGGACGGAACAGCGCTGGATTAGATGGTGGGGTGTTGAGGAAAGATGCAGCCCCAAAAATGTTGAAGTGAAGCAGCCTGCCTGTCTCAGCCCACTAGCTACCCTCACTTGGTCTTCCTTGGCTAGACACTTGTTTTAAAAGCATTTCACCGCAGACTTCAACTGAGTCAGCAACTTGCAGTTAAAAACAACTAGAATTATACACAACATGGTGTTATGTAATCTTCCAAACCAGGTGGAAAAAATCCATCTCCCCCCCACAACCTCATCAGCTTCTCAATAGGAAGTTTCATTAACTAAGTTATATAAGAGTAATTATGTCTCCATTGCAATGAAGTGTGGCCAAGCAAAACAGACAGAAAAAAATGTGCAGAGTTCCAAGACTGCTATAAACGGCTCCCACTGTTCAGACATGTTTTGGGCAGCAGCTGTAGTACAGAACCACAGATGGGAAAAAGAAGTTTCCAAGTGAGGAATGTCAAATTTATTTGCCTTGGCAGGAAGCTCAACACTCCTTCCACCAGATCCTTTAGAATTCTAGCATTTATTTTTACATGTATGTTTAAATCAGCCACAAATCTCTACAGTAGATCTTTCTATTATTAAAAACAACCAGCTGAACCCATTCCTGCAAAAACACGTGTGCTTTCCACGTAAAGAACAGAAAAGCAGAGAGAATGCTCCAAGTTAGCTGAGATGGCAAGATATTGGAAATTCACCCTATCCCAAAGTATTTGGATATCACTCTGGATTAAACCATCATTTACAAAAACATTGTCTCCATATCAAACAAAGTTTCTGCCAAAAGTAAAGTACTTAGGCCATTGGCTGGTTCAGACTGAGATGCACACCCAGAAACAGGAAGAACAACTGCTTTGACCCAATGCTACTCTATAGCTGAATATACATGGTATAAATCAGTACATGCCAAACAAGTGGATGTAACTCTTAAAGAATCATCCAGATTATTACTTGCTGATTAAAACCTACCCCCATTGAAAAAAATCTATCTGACTGGCACTGATTCTCTGGAAGAACATTGAGAAGTGCTAGCAAATAATGAACAAAATAAGGTGATGCAGCACTAAACCTGTCCACTTCATGGACACCAACCACCTGGATGAAGGATGAAATCAAGGGAAAGCTTTCTGTATACCTCTGAAGTTCTAAATCTTAGCCAGAAGAGGCTAGGTTAAACCTATGGTTTAAAACACCTTGCCTAGTGGATTAATGGCAAAGAGGAAAAGATTCTGGCTGAACTATCTGGAAGCCACTTTATAGACTTCAAAGTGGAGTCAGAAGATCAAAGAATAAGTAGTATAGAGTTACTTAAGATACAGGACACATTTTCTGGGAATATGGAAAAATTTAATCAATGTAGAATTCATGTGCATGCAGTTTATGCCCTACCGCATGTCCTGAAAAAGATCTAGTAAATGACCAAGATAATGCTATTGAATGTAGCCCTTATCTGGTCAAAAATAATCTAATTATTATAATTTGAATGTTATTTGTATGTTATATAAATAATGTAATACTGATACAAATAATGAAAGAATCAGCCACAAAACTCATAGTGTGATATCCTTGAGCCAGTTGTTGTTTTCCAGCCTAATCTACCTTCAAGAATTGTTACAAAAATAGTGAAGGAACGGGATGGGAACTATGAATGCTACTATCTCCTTTCTGGAGCAAGGGCAGGCTCCAGAAAGTCTGAAAGGATCTAGTATGCCAGCCTTACTGAAGCACTAGTTGGTACCTGCACAAGAAAAAGGGAACTTAATGTATTAAATGCTAAATTATACCTGGGAAGTAAAACTGGAACTTTTATATAAAATAAAGGCAAAATTGGCAGAGGTGGAAGTGAAAGGAAGCCAAAAGAGCTAAGGAAAGGTGCTACACACCAAGGCTTACCAAGTGCCCAAACTGTCTGGTATCCAAGCCAAGTGTCATTGGTTTTTGTCTTGCCTTGGTTAATTACACAATGGGAACACAAACAGCTTGAGGAATCTTGGTCATTAGAAATGTTTCCTAGATTGCTTATCAAGTGGTGTGCATTTGTGCCCTGTACAAGCCTGCATAAGGGTGACTTCACGCAAGAACCAAAAGCAGAGTTTGGGAACACTCCAGATCCCAAGTTGCCAGCAAATTGGGATTTTAAAAAATCTGCACAAATCTGCCTGGGTTACAAAGACAATGTAAGGGTCTCAGTGCAAAAGCTGGTCTGGTGCCTATCTCTTCACTGGGATTCATGGAAAGATACAAGAAAAGCTCTGCTGCATCAGACTAAAATCCTATCTGGTCAAGCCTCCTATTTTCAAAAGTAGCTATCTGGATATCTTTCTGAAGCCTCCAAACTCAACTCATCTCTGTTGACTGACTATCCATAGTGACAGGATTCTTTAGCTTCCAACCAGCTAGAAAGATCCCAGCTTGAGAAGCAGAACTAGGGCTGTCAAGGTGCTATGGTTGCAAATAAGTACTGTACTGGATGCAAAGTGCAATCGGAATCTTAGCTTCTGTTTTTTAAAATGGAAAGGTTCTAGTCTTAACTTGCTGCAACACTCTCAGAAGCCAGAGGTGGGCCTAATCAAGAGTTCCAATTGTCACAAGGTGCTATTTTTCACAGTTCCTTGACCTTCTCTTTACAATGAATTTCAATCAAATCTATAATTACTGCCCATTTTGCTCTCTAGCAAAGATCCAGAAGACAGAATCAAGTGTTCAACCATCTACATGTATTTAGAAGCCCAGCAGTATTCAGTGGGGCTTACTACAAGAGTAGCAGGCAGAGGACTTCAGCCTTAATGCAATATGTTATGGGACAGGATGTAACTTCTTCATAGTTGTGCTCACATGGCTTTGCTTCTGCTTATTTTAGCCCCAGCATCTGCTGAAACCTAAAACCTCTTTTGGAGCAGATAGATCCATTCAGCCTTGCTTTTCTCAGCCTGCCTCGTCCCATATGGACGTTATTTTCAGCCAAGGTCCAATCTATGTATTATAAATGGCCTTCTTGCTAGGAGCTTGAAACCCATTAGGTAAAGGTAAAGGTTCCCCTTGACATTTAGTCCAGTTTTGTCCGACTCAAGGGTGCGGTGCTCATCCCCGTCTCCAAGTCGTAGAGCTAGCGTTTGTCGGTAGACAGTTTCTGTGGTCATGTGGCCAATGCGACTAGACATGGAACGCCATTGCCTCGGATATGTATCATAACAGTCCATTGGTACCTATTTATCTACTCGCATTTGCATGCTTTCAAACTGCTAGGTTGGCAAGAGCTGGGACAAGCGACGGGAGCTCACTCTTGTGTGGATTCGATCTTACAACTGCTGGTCTTCTGACCTTGCAGCATGAGGCTTCTGTGGTTTAACCTGCAGTGCCACCACGTGCCTTGAAACTCATTAGTGTCCCAGAAAAGAGATTCAGACAGACTTCTGCAATGCAACAATCGTGCCTGTGAATGGAGTTAACAGAGTACAGTAAAGCAAACTCTGGCAGCTGTGGAATATTTATGCTGTGACAATGAAATGTCTTTCAGTACTTAAGGCATTCCATTTTCTAATCACAGTTTTGCCCTCAGAGAAAGTGTACAGCATTTGTATCTCTGCTTGAAATTCTTTGTTACTGCCTACTGGACGCCTCCTTAGAACAAGGTGGATTAAGCTTGTCATATATCATGATGAGGTCACCACTTTAGCCGATGCCATATGTAGTCCCTCTACCTCATCAGGGAGCTGCAGCCATTGCCTTTTGGCTGTGCCACATACCCCTTCTCTCACAGGAGCCATTAAAGAGAGCCAAAGAAATGTGTCAAGCAGCAAACAGGATATTCTTCTTTTGATCTGCATGCACAAATCATAAGGATCTTGGCAACTTGGAAAGTAAGGCCAGGATACATTTCACCCCTTACTTGTTGCCAGGTAAGCTCTTCAGAACTCTGTCTTGGATGTGTATCACAATAATCCATTTGCAAACAAAACAAAACCCAGGAAGAAAGGCAGGAAACTGCAGAGGCATACAGGAGCAGCCCTGGCAGTGAGTCATCCTAAAGGACAAAACCAGTTTTGCAGTCCTACCTCCAAAAGCAGAAAGAAGTTCTTACAAGTATGCATGTGCATATGCATGTGAGACCAAGAAAGCCTTAGGAAGTCTTAAGAAATTACAACAGGTCTGGAACACAGCAGGAGGAAAGTTCTGAAATGGTGTTTGTTGCTTGGATGATTTTACTCCATTAACTTGCTGTTTTTGCTGTCAGTTGCCAACCCTAGAGTGTTCGCAATGAACAGATACGCAGGGTATGTTGGACTTTGACCCCCATTCCACTTGTTTGGCAACATTTAGACATTTTCCCTAACTTGGTCATAGAAAGACTGATGCAGGCTTGCTCCCCTCCACCACGAAGCCTAAGCCACTGCTTTCCTTTTTCTTGCCTTCAAAAAACCTGGCTGTTGGATGGGACAATATGGAGACACAAGACTCACTTTTGTTTTCCCACCCTTTTAGACTAAGCCATCTTAATCTCCAGCCAGTTAATTAACTCCATGTATGTCTCCTTCCTAATCCAAATGCTTCTCAATTTGCTGACAACAGCTATCTTCTTCCCGTGTGTTTCCCACCACCACTCCCTTAAAAAAAATTCCATCTGAAGATATTATTTAGAATTGAGTCAAATCAGGGTTTCCTTTATGTTTCTAGTCCTGCCCTACCATTATAAGCTGAAAATATAGCCATTGCTTGCAGCTGGTTATTTGACTCATATGCAGCCATTGGTGGGACCGCTGCATGAGGTCACAGAATGTTCAGACGTGGCTATAAGAGAAGAGTGGCAGGTGCTAAATGCACAGCTTTGTGAAGCAGGCATGGACTGGCTAACTCACCAGAGGAAGAACCTCATACAGAACTGATGGCTTTAGCCATAATCTAATTTATTAGGAAATAGAACACGTGATATATATATATATATTTTGCCACCACAGAGGCCAACACATTTACTGTAGAAAACATTTATGCTACACTACAACCGTTTTTAGCTGAACAGACTCTTGCCATTTTGAAAATATGTGCCTTTTTGGATAAAGAAAAGACTGGGACTTGAAACTGGAACTACTTTCCTGAACCCTTTCCTTCCCAGTAGGAACAGCAAATGAGCTTCTGGCAACTGCTTTTTGAGCATGGACTGAGATAAGCTAAAGACTATAGGAACAGATAGTAAAGATGCATCGTGGGAGAGCTCAGTACAAGCTTCTGTTGATGTCAACTCTGCACAGAGGCAAAATGAAAGAATCTTTGAGCAACACCATGGAGGGAGCTTCAGTGGAACCAATGCAGAAAACACCAAAGACAGGCGATCCAGCACCCTCCTAATACTTTGGATTGTGACTCCTACAATATCTGAGCAAGGGTTAGGTCAAATAAGTCTCAGGAGGATTGGAGTGCTAAACATATAAAGAGCACCAAATTGCTTATCCCTAAAGATTTAAATTTTCCCATTGGGTATGCAGATTATGTGGAAGTTTCCATACTCCTCAAGAGATGTGCAACAAAACAACTCTAAACCAAGTCCCCATTTGTTGATCACAAAGAACCTGTTAGTCATATATCAGATGACTGCTGAACAAATTCTATTCATTTTGGGATTGAAAATAAAAGATTTTGGCATAAAATATGATCAGATATGAAGATGAAAATATGAATTCCCCATATATTTTTAACATAACTCTGGAAACCAACTTGCTTATCAGCCTCCATTTAGCATTAGCACTGCTAATGGGTAGTGACAAATCACAGAAATCAGGAATGTTCTAGCAGACTCTCGGGATTTCTGATGCAGCAAAAGACACCTGATCAAAAGTACTGCAGCATTACCTGTCTTTCCAGTGAGATTTTATCGCATTCCAAGTCCTGGCGAACAGAACGCTCTTGTAACAGCTCAGCCCGCAGTTGGTCAATCTGAAGGGAAAGAGAGTGAATGTAAACATGAGCCTAACCATCATCCCACAGGCCACGACTGAACAAGATCCCTATAAATCTTGCAAGCAGGACACAAAAACCTGATGATATCCACCCAGTTCCTAATACTTAAGGCTAAATTTCATCTGTCTATGAGGGTTTGCTTAACATGGTTTTTAATATAATACTTTATTGTTGTTTAGTTGTTAGTCATGTCCGACTCTTCGTGACCCCTATGGACCAGATCACACCAGGCCCTCCTGTCCTTCACTGCCTCCCGAAGTCGAGTCAAATTCATGTTGGTAGCTTCGATGACCCTGTCCAACCATCTCGTCCTCTGGCGTCCCCTTCTCCTCTTGCCTTCACACTTTCCCAACATCAGGGGCTTTTCCAGGGAGTCTTCTCTTCTCATCAGTGGCCAAAGTATTGGAGCCTCAGCTTCAGGATCTGTGCTTCCAGGGAGCACTCAGGGTTGATTTCCTTCAGAATGGATATGTTTGAACTCCTTGCAGTCCAGGGGACTCTCAAGAGTCTCCTTCAGCACCACAATTCAAAAGCATCAATTCTTCGGCAGTCAGCCTTCTTTATGGTCCAGCTCTTACTTCCATACATCACTACTGGAAAAACCATAGCTTTGACTATGCGGACCTTTGTCACAATATTTTATACCGTGCCTAAATTCTACTGATTTAATGGAAGTCAGCAGTTGGATTCCAGCTTGTATGTTTATGTAGTGCTTTTTAAAATGTATAGGACCGTTATAACACCTCCTGAAGGAAGACAACTTTGGACATAATGACAGTGATGCAGGAGTTCTTCCCAGGGAACTAATATGGCTTTGCAAGAGGAAGCTAAATATAGTTATTGATGGGTTTTGTGGAGAGTCAAGGTCAATCCTTAAAAGCCATAGGAAAGCACACATCTCTGTGACCCTTGCTAACACCTGCAAATTCTACAAGGTGTGATCTGGAGAGGATGCCAGTACCTATTTTGCACAAACAGAGCCAATTGACAAAAGTCCCTACGCCATCTCAGCATTTTTTTCCTAGTTGCAAATCAGATGCAAACCAGAAAGTCATATAATCTGCTGCAAGCTATATTGTAAAGCTGAATGTCCATCTATGCATATATATTTCTTTTATATATTAAAAGACACTGGGGCTAGGAAGTGAACCGAAGGCCTTTGTAGTGTCTGATAGCCATCTGCCAACAGGCATTAAGGACACCCCCATGCCTCATTCACTGCTCATCCACTTCCATGTGGTACCCAGATGACTTCTGTCAGAAGACACTTCAGGCCAGTACAGATATCAGTTGAAACAGCAGTTTCTCTGTCCACCCTCTGTGATTCTGCAAGTGGTAAAAAAGACTTCAGCTACTGACCTGGTCTCTTGTTCGGTTGATCCTCTCCGTCAACAGCTCTACAGTGTTCCTTTCCTCTTCAAGCTCCACTTCAAGGCGCTTTGATTTGTCCTGTAATGTCATCAGCAAGTTTATCAGATGCTTTTACACCCTGTCCTTCCAAGTAACTGAATTAGAAAACAGCAAGAAGTCATTGTCTTATACTAGCTGTAGAAAAGTTGCAGGATTATGTAGGACAATAAACCAGAGTCGGGCAAAGTGCATCCACACCCTAACCCTCCACTGGGCCATTTTTGCGGTTTCAGCCCTTGCCTGGTGTCCTTTGTTTCCCTGGCAGAAAAAGGGAAATTATGGATCTTGGCACTTTCCAAGATGGGCAATGAACCTTTTAAATAGGTCAAAGAATCTTCTCAAAAACTTCTCAAAACTAGAGATGGATCTGTGTTCCCTAGTTACAATTTTTGTGATATATGTAGCCACCAGAGGCTCCCACGAGCAGATAATTTGACTGCTAAAGGGGCCCACAAGGATAGGCAACCTGCTGCCTTAAAATGCTTTAAGCTATACCTGTCTCAGCACCAGCTAGCATGGTGACTGGTCAGGGACTCTGGGCATTATAGTCCAAACATACTAGAGGTCAATGTGTTTCCTATTTCTGCCAAAGAAACAGAACAGAACCCAAAAATCTCTGCAAAAAAAGAATAATTAAAATACATATATCACTGCTTGGGAGATAAAAGAAATCCTTGTAAGATATCAGTATATGAAAACAGGATTTGCAGTACCCAAAGGATGGCAAAAGCAAATTAGGATGTTTTTCGGTGAGAAGAGTACAGGAAGGAAATATATTACCTCCCTTTACCATAATGATCCTTTCATATAACCAAAGCAACACAAGAATACAGTAGGGAGTTAATGAAAAACAACGCTGCCCCCTGCTGTTGGAGAGAGGTTTTTTTTGCCAATTCTGTGTACTGCTGCAAGGATGGCTGCAGAAATTGACCACAAAGACACAAATGGGACTTTGCCTGCTCTTAAGTCAATGACTGCAAGAACCCTTCTCTTTTTTACCACGAGACAAGCATTCACTTGTTAATGGTAGTCCCAGCTTGCTTTAGCACTACATTTTCTATTCTGAAATTTTCAAGAGTATGCTGAGTACTCTATCCAGCTATGTACAGTAGGATATACGTTAGCCGTGGGTCTCAAGACCTTCCCTTCACCTTTCTTTCCCTTTCTCTATCGTTTAAGAGAATAAGACAAGTCTGGACGAAAGTAGGAAAAACTACTGGGTGAGTCATGTATAATCTAAACCAAATCCGTTATGAAAACAGATTTAAGGAACTCACTTTGGTGGACAGAGTGCCTGAAGAACTATGGATGGAGGATCATATCACTGTACGGGAGGCAGCAACAAAAACCATCCCAAAGAAAAGGAAATGCAAGAAAGCAAAGTGGCTGTCCAACGAGGCCTTACAAATAGAGAAGAGAAGGAAAACAAAATACAATGGAGATAGGGAAATGTATTCTCGAAGGCTTTCACGGCCAGGATCTGATGGTTGTTGTGGGTCTTTCGGGATCTTTCGCCATGTTCTGGAGGTCGTTCTTCCGAACGTTTCGCCAGTCTCTGTGGCTGGCATCTTCAGAGGACAGGAGTCAGAACTCTGCCTGTGCTCTGGTGCAGTTTGTTTGGATAGTTGAGTATTTATAGCTGTGGGATCGGCTTTTGTCCTTTTCAGGAGATGGATGATTATGGTGATCAGGGGGTTTTTTGTTGTGGGTGTATTGTTGTGGTAAGGAGGAGAGATTATTTGTCATTGTGATTGATGGGTGTCGTTAGCTGGTCTTTTCTGTGCAGTGATCACTGGTACTTGTGGCTGGGTAGAGTATGTCTACCTTTTGCAGGCTGTATTTTTCAGTGCTGGGAACCAGGCTTTGTTGAGTTTTAAACTTTCTTTTTTGTTGAGGCTGTGCTAGTGTTTGTAGATTTCAGTGGCTTCCCAGTACAGTCTAACATAATGAGTGTTAGTTTTGTCCAGTACTTCTGTGTTTTGAAATAGAGTTTCATATCCAGCTTGTTTTAGGGCATGTTTAGCTACTGCAGATTTTTCCGGTTGTTTTCGTCTGCAGTGTCTCTCATGTTCTTTGATTCTGGTGTGGATGCTGCATTTTGTGGTTCCAATGTATACCTGGCCACAGTTGCAAGGTATCCAGTATACTCCTGCAGTGGTGAGGGGGGTCCCTTTTGTCCTTTGCTGACCGTAACATTCGTTGTATTTTTGTGGTGGGGCTGAATACTGTTTGTAGGTTGCGTTTTTTCCTAAAGTTTCCCCATGCGGTCCGTGACCCCTTTGAGGTATGGCAGAACGAACTCTACCCAGCCACAAGGGAGAAGCTCTCTGGAAAAGGGGCAATGACATTTGAGTAACACTGCAGATCACAAAGCCTAATATCATTCACAGGTGGCATTTAGGGTCACTGGGCTGGGCATAGTCCACCTGGCACGAGAAACAATAATGTACAAAAAAAGGAAAGGAAAAAAAGGCATATAGTTCTTGCACGCAATCAAAAAATAAGGTGGTTTGATACCTTTATTAGACCACTAAAATCTAAAAGAGAGGACTCCCTGGAAAAGACCCTGATGTTGGGAAAGTATGAAGGCAAGAGGAGAAGGGGACGACAGAGGATGATGAGATGGTTGGAGAGGGTCACCAAAGCGACCAACATGAATCTGACCCAACTCCGGGAGGCAGTGGAAGACAGGAGGGCCTGGCGTGCTGTGGTCCATGGGCGTCACGAAGAGTCGGACATGGCTAAACAACGACAACAAAATCTCACAAGCAGGCAAGCTTTGATTCCACCCTTCAATCCCTACCTTTGATTCACACATCTCATCCCCACACTTCAATACAGAGAGAGGAATTTTAAAAAATTACGGGACGATGCTTATGCATAGAAGGCAGTGACATCGGTGTTGGCAAAGGTATCACCTATAGATTTTAGCAATAGCATCTGCCGCTTTATTTTTTTTGATCGTGTGCAAGCGATGGCTTTCCTCCCTAATTTTGGCTGCTGCTGTTGTACATTTACAGCGAGAAACCCTTTAACAAAGCACTAGAAACGATGCAAGATGTGAGTCAAGGCTCCCAAATACGGCAATTCGCTCGCCACCAGGAAAAAAAAATTGTGAAAAAACTGGGGTGGTCGTTCATTTTAAGGGTATTTTTCCCCCTTCCCACCTTTTAAAGGCCAGAACGAAACTTTTTCCTCTCCAAAAACTTTAAGGAGGCCTTTCCCTGACCATTTATATTTGCTTGTTTCACCCTCCGCCCTCACTGCCCAAGCGTTTTGTACCTTCCCAGAGGTCGACGGTTTGGAATATGTCTGTGGCCAGAATCCCATAGTTCTCCGCTGCCTGCAAAAATTTTGAGATCTGCTCCATCTGTTTGAAGGCCATGCTGGAAGCTTGGATCTTATCCACCGGCCCTTTTCCTGGGGGGTAAAGGCTGTTGATCAGCTTGGACAGCACCTGAGGAAGATGAGCGACAAGGATAGTGAAACTCAAAATCCTGTAACGGCCTAGCCCTCGTCTCTCTCCGATTTTTTCGTATCGGCTTCAAATAAAGATCATTTTATTTCAAACCTATCCATTCTGAAGGAAATCAATCCTGAGTGCTCACTGGAAGGACAGATCCTGAAGCTGAGGCTCCAATACTTTGGCCATTGATGAGAAGAGAAGACTCCCTGGAAAAGCCCCTGATGTTGGGAAAGTGTGAAGGCGAGAAGGGGACGCCAGAGGACAAGATGGTTGGACAGTGTCACCGAAGCAACCAACATGAATTTGACCCAACTCCGGGAGGCAGTGGAAGACAGGATGGCCTGGCATGGTCTGGTCCATGGGGTCACAAAGAGTTGGACACAACAACTAAACAAAAACAACAAGAGAAGTGCTATTGCTGTTGCACAGTTGCCTGACTGCTCATCAATATATTTTCCTCCTGAAATGTGTTTCTAGCTGTAAATGGCCCATTTCAATACAAATGGAGTCCCGCAATAGAGAAGTATCACATACAGTCCTTTGGGACTGACCATCAGAAAGTGAAAGGGCCTATCGTTAAGTACAAACTGAAGCAAAAAATGGCAGGCCCAGTGGAAATATGTGGGGCCTCAGGGCAACTCCCTCCAGGATCAAAGGAGGACATAGCATCAATATGTTCTTACAATGCCAACGTACTGTTGTCCCAGGGCAATATGAAAATTAAACTGGGGATAAGACATATGAAAGCAACTGCAACACCTCTAACACTCACAACCAGTTTATGGTCTGACAAAGAAGTCCAGAAGAAATTGCTGATCTTATAAATTTTTCAGACATGGAGTTGGCTCTGATTGGGAACAGAGGAAATACCTATCTGGAAACAGGAAGTGGAGACAGAGGTTGCTAACGCCTAACCAGTTAATCACCCAAATCCCATCAGTCAAAACCAGGATTCTCTTGATTGGTATTCAGTGTTGGAAGAAGTATGGAAGCCATTATTATTATGGGCATTTGAACGTCATTGGGGATTGGCTACATAGCAGCAGGTTTTCGGCTGGTCTTTGCCATTGGCCATCTTATTTGCTTAGCACTTCCAAGACAAAAGAAGAAACCAAAAGAACCCAAATCGAAGGTCACTCAGGAATCTGTATAGTGAGAAAAGCTAGATGGAAAGAAAAAAAGGATGGGGAAAAACACGAACCTCCAGTGCCTTGATTTGCCGGGATCGATCATCCTGAGACCGCCGCTTGGACTCCATCTCCTGTTCCAGGCTGTGAAGGCGCTGCGCCAGCAGTTCCTTGTCCAGTACGGCATTCTCACGCTCAGCCTGGCTGTCCTGGAGGGCCTGCTTGAGCCGCATTACCTTGGAGGAAAAGAAGCAGAGGCAGTTACATGAGCAGAATAGGCCTCTTGAAGGATTCAGGACCAGACATCCAAGGTTTACTCTGATACCATCTGTCCATTTACCACAATATGACTAAGAAATGGTATTTTGGAAACTCAACCTTTTCTTGGGGGCGGGGAGACTGTAACTCCAGATAGCATGTTTTAATCCTTTTCACCACTTGTTGCCCTTTACACGTTCAAACCATAAACAGTGTCAGGCTGCTAGCCCATCTAAGTCTGGCCTTGTCCAAGCTCTCATAGCGCCCACTTGTTCCAAAATCCCATATATTTATTTGTTGTTATTTATCTACTATTTCTCCAATTCGTCTCTCTGTGGATTAAAAATCAGAAGTGCTATAGAACTGAGAAAGAGAATGACACACTGTCTCTCTCCCTTACCTCATCCTGCAGCCTTCCCAAATTATACTGCATCTTCTCCACTTCAGCATTTCGATCTTTCGCCTGTTTTTGAGAGTCTGTGATCTCCCTGCGGGATCTCTCTTTATACTCCTCCAGTTGTGACTGCAGTTCGGATAGAGAGTTGTGGGACTCTTGGGACATCTGGTCCAGCTTAAAGAAGAAGGGGAAATCTGGATTAATTACAAGGCAGTTTTGAACCATGTCCTTTTTTTTTTTTTTTGCATCCCAGTTCCCATCAGTGGTTGTGCTTCAAGGAAGACAGCCTACTGTTACTTCATGTCAGGGACCAAAAGATAGCTAAGGAAGCTCTCTTCAGTTACCTGAGATATTTATCATTTTCCTTTGTTCTTAAAACTTTCTGGCACCATCAACCTTTTATATTTAATTGGATTTGTATAGGAAGAATTCATAAAAGAAAATGAAGGATTGTTGGGGATGAAGTGGTATATCTTGCGGTACAGGCCAAACTGAATGCTGAGCATTCCTTTCTGCACCACAGGCCCACTGCATGACCTTGACCGAGTCACCCATTCTGACCTTTCAGTCCAAGGGCCAAATTCAAGCCTTGAAGAAGGTTTGAGAGCTTGCATTCCAGTAGCAAGCTGGGCCAAAGGCAAAAAGGTAGGACCAAAAATACCAGCAGATTGGACCTTCAAGTTGTTACTGCCAGCAGCTGTGTCTTAAAAAGAGGCGTATCAGTCTTCTAGGATGGGAAGGAACCTGTACAAAACACAGGAATCCACCAAAAGATGTCACCTGGGAAAGCTTGGAGGGCCAAACCAGAACACCAGAAGAACCATATCCAGACCTATTAGGTTTTCCTCCAAAAGCATGTGAATGCGAGTAGATAAATAGGTACCACCATGGTGGGAAGGTAACGGCGTTCCATGTCTAGTCGCGCTGGCCACGTTTGTCTAGGGACAAACGCTGACTCTATGGCTTGGAGACTGGGATGAGCACTGTGTCTTAGAGTCGAACATGACTGGACTAAATGTCAAGGGGAACCTGTACCTTTTCCTGTGGCTTAGAGAGTGTTAAAACCTTGGAAGATGCAGGTTTAAAGTCTCCATCATGGAAAGAAGGGGTATAAATTTAATGAAATAAGTAAATGTTTGAAATAAATCCGGGTCCATCCCAGAGCCTACCTCTTTTGTGAGTTTTGTAATGCTCTTGTCCAGAAGCCGCTTCTCCTCTTCCAGCTCACTCTTGGCTCTCTTGAGCTGCTCTTTCTGCTTCACCTCTTCATGATACAATGTACTTAGGTCCTGATGCTCCCTTGAGAGCTTGCTAAGACTTCGCTGGGCCTCCTCCAGTCGGCTCTCCAGCGATCGTTTCGTCAGCAGCAACTCCTGCTCTTGCTCGGTAGCATCCCCCAAAGAGTCTTCCATCTGCCTACGTTCAGCCTAGGAGCACAAACAAAACCAGAGGACAAGAAGAATATATGTCACAAAGGAAGTTGTGACAGCTCTTCAAGACAAATGTCATTATTTGTGTTTCAGATAAAACAATACACACACTACAGTATGCGTTACAGTGTACAGATGGAAAAGTCTCTTCCCTATTAACTATTAACTATTAACATCTTCTGCCTTGTTTATGAAGGATCATGCCAGCAATCTTCCTAGCAGACAGTTTATAATGCAGTCAAACCAAGTTGTCATTTTGGAGTTTGAGCATCCTACATTTCGACCATGCAAGCACAGAAAGAGGCCAATGATTCAGGATCTGGTCAGTCTTCATATTTAGAATCAGATATATTCTTCTAGCCTTGAAGATCCCCAAATAAGCATGGAAATATTAACAGGATAACAGAGTTATATATCTGGTTTAAAAACTTTCTGAACCAGGTCTGACCTAGAAGCAAGAAGTATTTCGCTCACTCATCATCAAAGGATTTTAGGATCCAAAATTTGGAGAAATCTTTGCCAAGTATGCAAGGCCTATTTGTCAGTCTAATCAAAAGTTTACTTTAGCTGGGAAGACTGTTTGTTAAAGGAGAGATTATCCTGTTACCTTCTCTTGCAGAATCCATTGTTGCCAAGAAACCAAAAAACTGATGATAGCACTATTAGAGAAGTGCAACTCCAAACAGGACAATAGCTAGCTAAGGAACTGAAGATGCTTCTACTAGGTCATCCTCCAGCTAAGACACAGAAGTGCTGATCAGCAGAAAGCACTGTCCTGAATAAGATTCTGCTTCTTTTGTAATTTGCATTATCTCTGAATTTTTGAAGGGAAAGTAGTTGACCAAAGAAGTGTCAAGAAGAGGAAAAGCTATTTCAGATTTAGCCATTAGAAACCAACAGAGCACCCCTCTATATCAACTTTTCCAGCCTAGTGCTCGCCAGATGAAGTAAACTGCAGCTTCCAACATTTTCACCCTTCAAAGGCATACTGGCTACTGATGATTGGGGTTGTAATCCAACACTTCTGGATGGTACCCAAGTATGGTCTATTTTAAAAATGTGTGTGAAGTCCTTCTGTGGCAGTTTGAGTACCAGAATTTGCTGCTGTCATTTTGTTTTCTCTGTATTTGAGTTATCCAAAAGCTGCCTTGTATGATTACCAGAGCATCGTGTTGTTATAACAGTGTCCACTTACATGTTGTTTAACAGAATGCCCTGAAGGCAGTGTTAACTTTCATTCACACTAAGGGAGTGACAGAGGGGATAGCAACATCACAAAAAGGAAAATAATATGAATTTTTGATAAGTTGAGAGAATATGTTGGCCAGGGAGCCATTTAGATTTCTCAGCATGCCTGGATTAATGGACATACAACATTTAAATAATTTAAAATAAAAACAAAGACATAGAAGAATAATTCCCATATTCTAGGAATCTCTATGCATAACTGCACTGTCTCTGGAACTAAATGCCCCTTAACTAACACTACTAAACAAAATGGCCTTATTCTCAGCAGGGCCTAGAATCTGAAATTCTGTCTCCAGTTCCCCCCCCCCTTTCATCTAACAACATTTAGGATCTACTTGGTGCCACAGTATTAAAACGAAAAGGCCTATGAGTGAAAAAGAATCGGGGGAACTGGTATTTTTTCTGCCATAGAGTACCTCCAGCTTGGCAATTTTTTCCTTCAGCCTTGCCTCTGTGCCCTGCCAGTTGTCAGCAAAGTGCCAATACTCTTTGAGCTGTGTCTCCAGGCCCAGGATCTTTCGTCGGAGGTCATCATTCTCTTCTTGCGTCTCTCTCAATGTGGACTCTACAGCTTTTTTTGTTTGCTCAGTTGCCTCTTTCTCACTCTCCAAGGCAGCCTTTACCTGAAAAAGTGAATGGGAGAGAGGGAGAAAAAAGAAGAGAGAAAAGAAAGAAAAAAGTCATGTGGATTATGCTACTGTACAAGCCCCGCCTTTTAAAGCCCTCAGGTTACTAGTCCTCAAAGTTTTAAACATAACATTTTGTATCTTGCTAAATGTTGGAAAATTTGGTCTAGGAGACATAAATGAAGCAAGAGAATGGCTCACAGAGTTCTGCGAAGCCAACAATCTCTTACTGCAAATACATCGTTCAAATAACCAAAGAGATGACTATAGACATGGGCATAACATCCTCGTGATCAATATCATAACCAAATAAACTATGCAGTCGGAAGCAGGAGATGGAGAAAACAAGGCAAAACAAGACCAGGAGAGGTTGTGGTATTGATTATGAACTGTTAATAGCCAACATTAGGGTAAAGCTGAAAAAGAATACGAGAAGAATCATGATGCCAAAATATGAAGTCCACATAAAGAACAACTTTGAAATACAAAACTGAATTGACTGTGAACCCAAAGAACTGTGGAGCAATAGAGATATTGCCAGGGAAGAAAGCAAAAAGAAAATTCGTGTAGTAAAAAGAAAAGAAAAACCTTGATGGAAACACTTAAAATTGCAAAGGACAGATGAGGAATGTTGAAAGACAAGCGGGGATGTTCTGTGTAGAAGGGACAAAAGTATAACAGATTTCTTTGAAGAGGAAGCCTATGATGAAGAACTTGCACTTCTAGAAAGTGAAATAAAAGGTGCTCTGAAAGCATTAGGAAGAAATAAATCACCAGGGATAGATGGAAGACTGATGGAACTGTTTTAAGCTACAGAGAATGAAATTGCAAAAATTCTAACAAGAATATGTTAGTGGGCATCCCTCAGTTTCGAGGGACTATGGTAACGTGCTCTGAATACGAGACCTCGAAGAGGTCCATATCATATGGAAAGCTGGACTACATTCAGATGAAGGACTGAAAATTGGTAGAAGAAGCATCAAGATACACAGGTGACACCATCTTACTGGCAGAAAGCAGCAATTACATGAAATGACTATTAGGGAAAGTGAAAGAAGAAAGTGCCAAAGCAAGACTGTATCTGAACATGAAGACAAAAATCACGACTAAAGAAGAAAGTGCCAGCTTTGATATTAACAATGATATTAACAATGAAGAAATTGAAATAGAGATTTCTTTGCTCCTTGGTTCAGTCATCAGTTCTAATGGAGACAGTCAAGAAATCAGAAGACTGAGGCGAGGAAGGGCAGCAATGAAGAAACTACAAAAAATAAGGTGTAAGAATGTGTCACTGGAGACAAGATCATCCACATTCTTTTATATCCCATCACCCTGTATGGTTGTGAAAGCTGGACTTGAAATAGAGATTTCTTTGCTCCTTGGTTCAGTCATCAGTTCTAATGGAGACAGTCAAGAAATCAGAAGACTGAGGCGAGGAAGGGCAGCGATGAAGAAACTACAAAAAATAAGGTGTAAGAATGTGTCACTGGAGACTAAGACCAAGATCATCCACATTCTTGTATATCCCATCACCATGTATGGGTGTGAAAGCTGGACACTTAAGACAGCTGACAGGAAAGAATTTTTTTTTTTAATGTGCTGAAGGAGAGCTTTGCGGATGCCCTGGACTGCCAGTAAGACAAAAAAGTGGGTTCTCGATCAAATCAAACCTGTATTATCTCTGGAGGAAAAAATGCTGAAGCTGAGGTGGTTCTACTTATGATCTTTTTCAAGAACCTATGGGAACTAATTCTTCAATGTACGAACGCACCTCTACATAACAAAAAAACAGCCAGAACGGATTAATTGGTTTTCAGTCCATTCCTATGGGAAATTTTGCTTCAACTTAAGAACGTTTCAACTTAAGTACACCATTCCAAAACGGATTAAGTTCTTAAGTAGAGGTTCCACTGTATGATCTTTTTCAAGATTCTCTGGAAAAGATAATGCTAGGAAAAAGGTGGAAGGCAGCAGGAAAAGAGGAACACCAAATGCCAGATAGACTGACTCCCCAAAGGAAGCCATAGGCTTGAGTCTGCAGGAGCTGTGCAAAGCTGTTGAGAGCAGGACATTTTGGAAAATAGCTCTCTGCAAGTTAAATGTCCATCAGGGACATTCCAAGACATCCAGACTGCCAAATCCTTGCCTTAAACGTGTCCTCATAATCCTTCCGGAGCTGTTTCAGGTCCTGCTGGAATTGCTGCTTCAACTCTTCCACCTCTTGGTCATGACTGTCCCCCTCATCTTTCAACGCTTCCTTCAATGCAACCAGCTCCCTCTCCCGCTGACGGAGCAGCTCATCCTGGGTCTGCTTTTCCAACGTCAACTCCCTCAGCTGTTCTCGAGCCTCACGCAGCTCCTGCCAGGAAGAATAGGACTACTAGTTAACAAGATACTCCAAGAAACAAAGCCAAACTGGTTCTTTATCCTTGTTCAGGATGTCTGAAGCCACCACATACAACCTACTTCACTTTCACAGCTGAGCAAAGGAATGTATCTGAGAGCTGGACACACCTTCCTAAGGGTACTAGCTTCTCCAGCATCTCCAGTGCCACTTCGGGCTTGTTCCACTTCCTGCCTCATTGCAGTAAAGCGCTCACGCATCTCCCTCAGTTCTTCTTCAAAATCTTCACGTTCCACCTTCACCTGCATCAGCCTAAAGGAAGAAAAGAGGAGATGGGGGGGGGGAAGAGCAGTTAATTAATCTGTCATTCAGTTGTGGGACCTCAGAGTGCGTAGGAAAAACTAGATTAGTTCTTGTGGGTGAAAGAGAAGCAGCTGTTGAAGGGTTGCCACTTTCAGGAAAGTCCAGGAAATGGGAATTGGTCAGGGAAAGTCAGGAAAACTGGTCTGAAGTCAGGGAAAGTCAAGGAAATTGTGATTAAAATATATTCAAGCAGTGGATTTTTGACCTGCTGCTGTAAGAGCATGATTTGCTTTTGTGGCAACTGGAATAAGAAGTAGCAGAATATAAGTAAAACTTAATACTGTACTTTCCCAGCTCCACCTTTGTCTCAGTGCCGCCCCCAGCAAACAGCCTAATGTGTTTGTTGAGCTCTGTCCCAGCATGGTTTCCAAGGTCTGCCTGTAGCATTTGCAAAGCAAGGCTAGTTTAAATGTTTAGCAAGATACAAACTTTAAACGTCTAACTATCTTCATCCCTACCTGCTAGTACTGTATTTAACTTACATATAAAGATACAGTAAGCATGCTTTGGGGTCAAGGTTATGTATGGAATGGAGGTTTTGTCTCCTGCTAAACCCAGCACACAGGGATCGCAGAACCCTCTGTGCTGCAAGGTGAGAAGACCAGCAGACGTAAAATCAAATCCACGCGACGGAGTGAGCTCCCATCGCTTGTCCCAGCTGCTGCCAACTTAGCAGTTCGAAAGCATGTAAATGTGAATAGATAAATAGGTACCACCACGGTGGGAAGGTAACAGTGTTCCGTGTCTAGTTGCACTGGCCATGTGACCACGGAAACTGCCTACAGAAAAATGCTAGCTCTACAGCTTGAAGACAGGGATGAGCACCATGCCCTAGAGTCGGACACGACTGGACTAAATGTCAAGTGGAACTCTTACCTTTTACGTTTAAATCCACCACAGAGTTGCAAATGAGTTTTTCTGCTGTTGGATTTCACAGTCAGCTAACACTTTCTACTCTGCACCATGCAAAGTAAATTTTTCAAATGTGATTGCTTGTTCCTGCTAGAGTTTACAGAGTACCAGCTCTATCACCCTCGTCCCTGACTTCTCACATGCATAAAGGTTGCAAATGAGGGTTGCCTGCTTCTCTATATTGTAGAAATGATCTGCAAGCGTTTAAACTCCTCCTTTGTGAAACTTCGCAGCTTTGTAAAGTTCCTGCTTGCCAGAAAACAGATCAGCTAACATCTTGGTGTCAGGCACGTGGTTCTTTGTACAGCTTTATCTTAAACCACATTTTAAAGATGGCTTCTAAGAGGACAGTTTTTAATATACAGTGGCTGGATTTCAAACTTCATCCTGTCTTCGTTTCGCAGCTATCAACAGTTGCTAGAGACAAATGCAAAGGTTATTGTAAAGTGCTACAAAAATTTTGAACTAAGTAATATGGGGCATTTCACATGCTAGCAAGCTTATGCTCAAAATCCTACAAGGTAGGCTTCAGCAGTACGTGGACCGAGAACTCCCGGAAGTACAAGCTGGATTCTGAAGGGGCAGAGGAACTAGAGACCAAATTGCTAACAAGGCCTGGATTATGGAGAAAGCCAGAGAGCTCCAGAAAAACATCTACTTCTGCTTCATTGACTACGCAAAAGCCTTTGACTGTGTGGACCACAGCAAAGTATGGCAAGTCTTTAAAGAAATTGGAGTGCCTGACCACCTTAGCTATCTCCTGAGAAATCTATATGTGGGATAGGAAGCAACAGTGAGAACTGGATATGGAACAATTGGTTGGTTCAAAATTGGGAAAGGAGTACAACAAGGCTGTACTGTATACTGTGTTCCCTGCATATTTAACATATGCAGAATACATCATGCGAAAGGTTGGACTGGATGAATCCCAAACCGGAATTAAGATTGCCAGAAGAAATATCAACAACCTCAGATATGCAGATGATACCACTCTGATGGCAGAAAGTGAGGAGGAATGAAAGAACCTCTTAATGAGGGTGAAAGAGGAGAGCGCAAAAATATTGGTCTGAAGCTGAACATTAAAAAAAAAAGACAAGATCATGGCTACTGGTCCCATCACCTCCTGGCAAATAGAAGGAGATGATATGGAGGCCGTGACAGACTTTACTTTATTGGGCTCCATGATCACTGCAGATGGTGACAGCAGCTATGAAATTAAAAGACACCTGCTTCTTGGGAGGAAAGCGATGACAAACCTAGACAGCATCTTAAAAAGCAGAGATATCACCATTTTGAAGGAAATCAACCCTGAGTGCTCACTGGAAGGACAGATCCTGAAGCTGAGGTTCCAATATTTTGGCCATCATGAGAAGAGAAGACTGCCTGGAAAAGACCCTAATGTTGGGAATGTGTGAGGGCAAGAGGAGAAGGGGACAACAGAGGATGAGATGGTTTGACAGTATCATCGATGTGACCAACATGAATTTAACCCAACTCCAGGAGGCAGCGGAAGAGAGGACGGCGTGGCGTGCTCTGGTCCATGGGGTCACAAAGAGTCGGACACGACTTAACAACTAAACAACAAAAAGAAGTAATATGGGAATTAGAGCTGTGGAGTCTCATGAACAAGGGTCATTGCATTGGAAGAACCTGAAAATTAAATCAAGTAAGCAATCCATCGCAATATGTTTAAGTTCAAATGCAAGTACAAGTTGAGATAGTAAAACAAGAGAGGGTGAAGAGACAACCCCTGCGAAAACTGGAAAACATTATCAGGGTGATGGAATAGGCATATTCAGTTAATAAGTCAAATTTTGAGAACTTGCATGAAGAAACTGTTTGTCAACATCCGATATATCATGCTGTCTTGAACTGTGGAGGACTTGCATCTATTGTAATTGATATGAATCTGTTGCAGTCAGTCAGGCATGCTGACGCACGCTACACAGATGGAGGCTAAACCCCATAAGCAACAAGAAGACATTCAGAAGAAAGAAGAAATTTGAGGGACAAATTAAATATCTTGGAAATGCCAAATATAGACTGAGAGAAGAAGCCAAAATAGAAGAGGAAACAATGAGAATAGCGCTTGATTCACACAGTGTGCGAGTAGGAACGGGAAAGTAATTTTCTAGACTACAACTGTCAGAATCCACTGTCTAGCAGAGAGGGGAGGGATTTTTGCAAGTTATAGTAAAATATTTGCTTTCCCGAAGCGCTGTAGGTGGGCAGAGAATGTCTTACTCTTGCTTGGTGTTTCGCAGCTCTTCTTTGTTCCTCTGGAACATCTCTTTCCAGTGTGCTGTCTCCTCACTGCTCTCCTGCAGCTCCCGCTGGAGGTTTCGCACCACAGAGTTAATCTTCTGCCTCTCAGCCTCCAAGCTGGCCTGATCCTGGACAAAGACAAAACAACTTGCTAGTTCAGAGGAGGATGGGGAAGAAACATTCCAAGATACATGCACTCAAGGTAGGATCTGGTGAGGGCCAAGTAATTTCCTAAGCACCACATAACTGGGGGTGTGTGAGGCAACAATGTGTTTCCAACTCTTCTGTGGGACCTTAGTGGTTTGCGAGTAATAGCTACACAGTTGTTTAGCTTTTAAGCCGCAATAGAGTGTTCAGATTATAGATGAGAAAAGCTCCTTCTTTGGACTACAACTTCCAAATTCCCCAGGCAGTATGGCTGCTAGCAAGAAGATTTTGCGGGATGTTTGTAAAAACATAGTGGCACTGACTTGAACAGGAACATTAAAGGGCTGCCTCCGACTGAGTGAGACCCTTGGTTCATCTAGCTCAGGACTGACTGACCTAGGAGATTCTCCAGATGTTGTTGGATTCAACACCCCAGAAGCTCCTGCCAGCATTGGCAGTGGTTAGTTTCTGTAAGTTGTTCTCTGACAACATCTAAGGTTGGGAATCATTAGTCTACCCTGATTGGCAGCAGTAGCTCTCCAGGTAAAGTAATCCTGAGTTCATCTTTTCAGACTGTAGGTGAGAAGCTAATTAATAAAATGTTCCTTCCAGTGCTTTGAAATGTTGCTGTTTAGGGCAACTGCTCCAAGAATCTCCAGCCATGAGAATTCTGGGAGGTTTAGTTTAAAGCAGTACCATTTCCATGTTCTGTTTCCCCCATCCCTCCACTCAAACAAGCATGCCAAGGCAGAGTGTAAGGCTAGAACCTGTCTTCCTGCTGTGCTAGTGTTCTGTGTGCAAGGAACTCTTTTGGTGCAAAACAGAGAATCCCATCATAAGAAACAAACATCACAAGTGAAAAATTGCACAGTGTGGAAAAAATGTCATCCCTCTCCAGTGCTACCTGCTGTTTTCTCAGCCCTAATTTTGTATGTGCCTCTGAGGAACCACACCAGCTCATACTGAAAATTTATTTGTTCACCTGTGACACATTTTCCATATTACGCCTCAGTTGCTCCATGTCTTGCTGGTATTCCTGCCGGACACAATCCAGCTCCTTGTCGTGGTTGGCCACCTCTTCCTTCAGGGCCCCTTTCAGAGCTGTGAGCTCCCGTTCTCGTTGGCGCAGCTGTTCCTCTTGCTTCTGCTTCGCCCTCAAGATTTCTTCCAGCTCCTCTCTGGTTTCCAGCAACTCCTAGAGAAAGAGCAAGGAGCCTGGAATCAACTTGCAGTGAAAAGTTTAAGTCTGGCTGCCTTCCTTGTAAGATAGTGCCCTATATGATTCTGTAATACAAAGATGTGCAGCCTAGAGGCTGAAGAAAATCTCTCAATTCTGGGGCAGTGGGCACTGAAATATAATACATGTTGAGGTGAAAATCGTGAACTTCACATTTAAGCTGCTCCTGTAAAGAAAAAGTGAAGGAAGGGGAGAAGAGTCCCTTGAAACTAGAAACTGGGATAAGTTGAACAGCATGAGATTGAACAGCATGAGGTTGAAGATAAACAGAAAGAAGATAGTTCATATAAGTACAGAGACAGAGTGTAAATTTGATATCATGAGATGAGATGGTAGCCCAACCTAGACAGCATTACATAAAGAACAAAGCTACCATAATGGACTAGTCCTGATGGTGATGTATCACCTCCAGTGCTACAACTAATGCACCACTCAGTACCAGCTCCTGGGGAACACATGGGGGTGTTGCTACCCTCATGTCTTCCTTTGCAAACTTCCTTTGGAGCATCTGATTAACCACTATAATACAGTGTGACTCAAAAGGCCTTTGAACTGATCCAGCCGGGCCCTCCTTCAGGCACTTACTTTCAGCAACTCCTCCCTGTCCGGAGTGCCTCCCATCGGCTCTCGGAATCGATCAAGCGCTTCCTGCATTTCTGTCAGCTGCTCTTCCAAGTCAGTCAGCTTGGATTCTGTTTGTTCCTTGATTGCTTTCACTTCTTTAAGCCTAAAAGTGTTATTTAATACCAGAGTAACAAAAGATAAAGAAATAATGCTTATAACAAATTTATGAATTAAACAGACATGCTGTGACTTAATCACGGTTTGACCTGGGCTCATATCCAGTAGTGGTATAATGCCCAGGAAACTTTTTTCTGCCTTTTGGAAGGAAGAACAGGGCTTTGTCCCTAAACAGACATAAACTTACTCTTCCAATCTGCTATGGAGTTCTTGGCTCTTCTTTTCAAAGGCCTCCCTGAGTCGCTGACACTCCTCTTCTGATTCCTCCAGGCGGATCTCTAGCGTGCGAGGGCTACCATTTTGGCGGCTATCATGTGAGACTTCCAACCTCTGACGGAGCTGCTTTGTTGTTGTTTCAATATGGAAGAAAAAATGACGAGAGAAATAAAAGGTCTCAGCATATCTATTATTAGAATCCAAGAATGATACAAGAAATAGCGTTATTCATATTCTCAGGGATGGGAATAGGAAGAATCCAGCCCAGATAATCTGAGCATAATGAGATTATATTTCAGAAGTAACCGTGTCTAGTCACTTTCAAAGCTACCTTTTAGGGCATTTCTAGCCATTTTTAGAGGCATATGGTTGAGAATATCAGTTTTGGGACATGGAAGATCCAAATTCAATCCCTCACAGGGCTGTGAAACTTATTTATTTATTTATTGGACTTATATACCGCCCCATAGCGCTACAAGCACTCTCCGGGCGGTTTACAATTTTTTTTAATTATGCAGGCTACACATTGCCCCCCCAGCAAGCTGGGTACTCATTTTACCGACCTCGGAAGGATGGAAGGCTGAGTCAACCTTGAGCCGGCTACCTGGGATTTGAACCCCAGGTCGTGAGCACAGTTTTAGCTGCAGTACAGCGTTTTAACCACTGCGCCACGAGGCTCTTACTTGATGACTATGGACCAGCTATAAAGTGAGGAGTGTGAGAGCCACATATATAGCTATGCAAGATGGGATGCAAACATAGCAGTTAAATAACATGTAAGGAAAAAAGACTCCAAGGCCACCTTTGTTTGCTCATCTAGTTTCGTCTGCAGCTCGCTGACCTTCTGCTTCAGTTCATTTGCTTTAGCCACGGATTCTCTTGACTCTGCCGGAGGGACAGCCTGCATCCAGCAACAAACCCAGCACACACAGAGAAATTCAGATCGCATCTAATGAGAACATACCGCTAGCTCTGCTGACTTCAGTGACTCTTCCATCGCATGACTGTCATTTTACAACCCCTGTTCAAACAACGCCACAGGAAAAGAAATCCCAGGAAAGTCCTGCGTCTCTTTTATCAAGATTCTGACCCATAAAATGAGTAACTAAAATAATGAAAACTCATTCAAAACAATTCCATTAAAAACTAAGGTTAACTCTGGAACATAACTAGATAAGCATTTGACATTCATTTGGCAGCAAAAATATTCAAAATTCGGAGATTCTGGATTATCTCAATTATCTCTGTTCGACGTAAAAGGCCCTCCTCAGTGCAAGCAAATGAACCTCACGAGGAGCTCATGCATTGTGAGGGAGTACAGTGGCTGACCATTATTGGAGCCAGGATGTTAGGTCCAGAGAGCCTTTGCTCTTAAAATTCAGCAGGCTCTTCTTCTTAAAGAAAAGAGTGGGATTAAGAATGTGGCGTGATCCACAAGAGAGGACAAAAAGCAGCAAGGACAGTCGGAACCCAAAGCTAAAATAGAAGGGAGAACAACTGACCAATCAGTTGCCTTCCCTCTCTCTCTGCTCCACCCCCTCAAACCTCACATACCCAGATTTTAGCTTCCACTTGTTCTGATTTTGAGAAGGGGGGCACGTTTATCTCTCTTGTCTTTCTCTCTGTGTGAGAAAGAAGCATCTTGCTTACACCAATGGCCTACAGTGTCCCTCCCGCTGGAGTTTCTGTTTGGCCCTGAGCAGCCAAGCTCTGCAGAATGCCAGTTTCAATTGATTACAACAGAAAGATTCCTGTCATCTCTGCCTAAAACAAAATTGGATGGGAAGGAGAAAAGGATAGAAGGTATGTGCAAAAAGTCACTAGAACAGCTCTTTTTAAGAATCGCTAGAAGTGGCAAAGAGAGGGAAAGACATAGGGAGAGGACTGTAAGGGAAAAAAAAGCATTTGGGCTTCTTATGAAAATGTGCCAACCGGGCCCTCCAGCTTGTTCTCAAAAGAAACCCTGGAGTATCAATAGTCAGACAAGATTAAAGGAGGCTCCACATGAATTGTTCTGAAAGCAGATGGCAAGAGTTCTGGAAACGGCAGTACCTCCTCTATCAGAGAAAAAAAATCACAGATCTCACTTATGTTGCACATCTCATCACAAGACTTACAGATAGAGCTTTGATTTTCTCAAAGATAAGGTTGGTTTTCCTCTTCACTGTGGCATCACTTTCCATGCTTCTGAAAAGTGACAAAACAAATCAACTTAGTTTATAATCAACTGCAGAGAGTGTATATCTACATCAGTTTGTTAATACACTTCAAAAATCTCTGATTGCCATGTGATTTAAACCAGCAGCTGGTTTAAAGACTGTGCTGTGAGCTACTAAGCGTGAAGATCAGCCCCGTGGGAGAAGCATGCTGGAAAGACAACTGCCCAGTATACTCCTGCAACATGTGGCTACAGGAAACTGTTGGGTTGTTAAATAAAAGAGGAAGATAAGAATTAATAGAAGAAGATGAGGAGGAAGCTATCCTAATAGCTAAAAGGATCCTCCATATACAGTAACAGTTTATCGTTCAGTATTGCCAAGGACAATACCCTGTGCCTGATCTGCTGGTTTTCTGGAGACATCATAATGGGAGGCAGGAAGTTAGACTAGATGGAGTAGGGGAAGGAAGAACTTTCCCTGGGAACCAAACACTGATTTTGGAAGTTTTGTGGTTTTCATTCCAGCAGCAGGCAGTGCTAATGGCATGACGATGAGCCAAGCAAAGGGTGGGTGTATGCAGAAGTCCACTCCAGAGGAAGTTCCTCTACAACTAATGTCAAGCTTACAAAGCACGAGTAAGACAGTGCTTTCAAGCATGCAAGACACATACTGACTTTCTGCAGCATATTTAAAATTTAAATGCCTTAGACCTTCAGATCTCCCACTGCTGATTTATGGTCAGAATAGTAGATGTCGGAGGATTGGATAGGAAATCCCTGAAGGCCACAGCTAGGATAAGGACCAAAGATTCCCCATGCCAGGACTGGTAGAACCCAACACAGTTCTGTCTGTGGTCTTTATTAACAAACAAAGTTTTTGAAAGAATTCTTCAATCATGGACACCAGAGTTCTTTAAATGGTGCACAGTTTACCCCGATACCAGTATGCAATGAGATGCATCAATCATTGCAAGCTAAAATCCACAGAAGGGGCAGCTGCAGTACTTCAACACTCACCCATCCTTCAGGATGTTGTAGATCAACTCCTTCATGTACTCACTACTTCCAGGCTGAGACACCTCCTGCTGGTCTTTCAGAAGGTCTGGAGTAGACTTTAACTGTAAGAAACAGCCCAAAGGTGAGCCAGAGCTGTTGACTTGGGGGTAGCCTAGGAATCCAAATGTCCAGTTCAAATAAATCAGTTCAGGGGGATTCTGGGAGTTGTAGTCCAAAAAAAAGTAACACTCCCAACATGTGGAGAAGGTCATAGGAGGCAAAAAGGGACAAAGAGTCTGACCTTACTTGAGGTTGTTTCCTTTGAAATCCACTATAAAGCAATAGAAATAAAATTATTATCCTGATGTAACAGGATACAATTTTTTTTTCATGGAGTGAGGTCTGAAATACTTTCTAATCCCAATGGAGTTTCAGTGTACTTAGAATTAACTGTAATGTTAGCATTGTGATTAGGATTAGTAGGATGCATAAAATATACATGCCATGTATTTCCTTGTATATCACTTATGATTCTTGTGCAAGCAAACAGAATGGGATTGATGGATTGATCGAGTGTTCCAGTATATTATATTGGCTTGAACAAAAAAGTACCCCAATTACAAAATGCACTAGATTTGCTGAGACAATGTTTGCCCATCTGGTGTTCGTCTGTTAAAGAACTGGGCATGTTAGTGATGGAACCCTTACAATTTTTAGGGTGACTATGTCACAGAATACCTATACTGCAGTTCTCACATTGTATGGATTCTGCAAGAAAATGTGACTCTGGAAGACAAAAGTATCTTCAGAGGAAAATACCCTGCCCTGAGCTGGTGCACGCAGGTTAACATATTCCAAAGTCTGGGAAACAAGTCTCTTCCTGCTAGAGGAGGAAGCACTGGGATGATGCTAAGATGCCAGACACACAAATACACACACCCCAGAACAGGCAAGGAGGCATTGTACGTGTCATCTTTCCATGCCAGAAGGACACTGGATATTCCAGCAATCTCATTCACTATGCTATTCTGGGCTTATGTTGTTCTGTGTTGGCTCTGCCAGATCTCTCTCCACCCCACCCCAAACTCTTTTGTGTTTGCTGACATCTTACGAGAAGAACAGTGTAATCTGGTGGCAAAGAGGGATCTGACAAATTGCTTTAAAAAGTAGGAGCAGATGAGCTACTGGCTCAACAAGTGGCGTGGCAGATTTTCCATGCCATTTGTCACATCACAAAAGTGACTGACAATAGGCCTCCTGCCAATAATGATGGCTGCAACCCAATTACAGAAAGCTTAAATTGATTAAAGAAAGGTGTTTTAGCCAAGGAATTGAATCCATTAGGAACTATATGGGGCTTGGGCCAGTATTTTTAGAGCAAGGAACACACCATCTTTATTTTCAGACAGTGCACAAGCATGAATGTAACACAGACACTCCTTCCTAGTGGGAAAAAATGGGCTCAAACGCCTCTGAGGATGCATCTGCCAAGAGGAATCTGCTATAAGCAGTCATATTAAAAAGTAATATGTTCATATACAAACTCATGTTTGTATACACACCTATGCAGGGTAGACACACATGTACATCTTTTCATAGATTGCTTCTTTTAAAAACCTGAATAATCTTACTTGATTACTATGACAGTCCTACCAATAAACTGCCACACCCTCAGCTGACATCCTGCATCCCTCTTTTATGTAACTCTGGGCCAAGAAGATCCTGGGATACGAGGACGAGAGAATGATATGGAGAAGCCCACACAAATCTGGCCATGAGATACTACAGGGTATTACCTGCAGGTCTGACTCTACTTTTCTTGGTTGCTTCTCCACTCTCTGCTCTTCCAGGCTCTTGTTGACCCAGTCCCGGGTCAGTTTTGATTTATCCAGTCCATTCTCCTTTAACTGTGGCTCAATGTCCCTAGGGAGGCTTCTGCTTCCCAGGAGGTTGGCTGAGGTGGGCTGCTTCGCTGCTGAGGTGTTTGCTCCTTCTCCAAAAATCCCCTGAAGCTCATTGTTCCTCAGCTCCCGGCTGTCAGCTGTGTCGTGATATGCCGCCCTCCCATCAAGGCTCTGTGAGCGCTTCCGGTCCTCTAGGGAGATGCGACTTCTTCGAGATGCTCTTCCTCTGTGCTGGGCTTTCCCATCGAACTTGTTTATCAGCGAGTCCACTGAGGACAAAGGCTTCGTGTCAATGTCACTACCACCCGTATTAGTTGTTTGGCCAGGCTCAGCTGAGTCAGAGTCTGAGGGCAGCGACTTACGGACAGGCCTCAGACCAGAGATGCTGCCAGCATCCTCCTGAGAGCTAGGCAGTCTGCGGCCAGCAAGATTCATCAAGCTAGTGCTCCTCGCGGTGGCTCCTGAAGATAGAGCCTGAGAAACATTTGTCGGTTGAGTCCTAGAGGAGTTCGGTTCTGGAGGTTCATCTGGCTCAGTGCTGAGCAAGGAGCCATAAGACTGAGTCCGCCGCAGTTGCTCCCCCAAAGCCTTCTTTTTGGGAAGTGTCCGACAACCACTCTGAGCAGGAGAGGCAGCATTGCTCCGCGACAAGTGAGCTCCATCCAAGCTATCTGTTTTTGGCACCCGCTGCCTCGAGACTTGCTCCTCATCTGATGTGCTATATTGGGAGCTGTATAGAGAGGGTTTCATGCCATACGGATTCTCCGGAAGGTCAGAATCTGAGCTGATGGACCCTGAGGCATCCTTAGATGATGACGCAGCTCCAGGGGAACCTGGAAAGGTCTCTTCGAGTGGCTGGCTCCGGGACGGCATACCATATTTGCTCTCGCCTTTGATCTGCACCCCAAAAGAGTCCCCTCCTTTCTCGCCACTATTGAGGACTACAAAGGGCTGTCCGTCAATGCCCTGGACCCGCACTGCCACCCCATAGGAGCCCGGCTTAGAGGTTTTGGAGCGTAGCTTCTGGGGCTTCCTGGGCTCTTTGAGGTCATTAATGAATCTGATCTGGACTCCATAGTCTATAGGGCTGTGCTTCTCAACCGTAGTGCCATTCATGTGGTGGTCCATTTCCCACAGGTCTGGAGTCTTAAAGGATCCTGCAAAAGGGAGATGAAGAACACAAATTCACGGTAAAGACACTGAATTGAAAAGTCAAAAGCTACTCATTTCATCCAAAGCATACTTGCCTCTGCTGAGGTGAGCTGCACTCCACAAAGACTGATGCCAAGTAGAACTTGTTATTCTTAAAGTGGCTACATGGGACTCTTTGTCGCATTTGTCACAATATATTGATACAGCAATATCACACAAAACTACTTCTCACTGTATAGTTTTCATCATTTTTCTTTGATGGCTGTGACCGAAAACCACATAAGCATTCAGTGTGGATACAGAACAAAAACATTGAAATCAGATGGTTGAAAGGTAGCAACATGAATCCCTTCAGAAGACTGAACAAGTGGGACCAAGCTCTCAAGGTTCAACACAAGGCTTAGGACTGTGCTATCCGGGGGCTCCCTGGAGAATCTTTGGTGTTGCAGAGGCAGATTCAGATGTTGCTAAATCACATGGGTGGCTAGGGTTGCCAGGTGTGAGGACACCAGCTGAAGTCTCCATGGACTGCTGTGTTTAGATGAATCTCATGGCAAAAGGCACTGGAAAAGGAAAAGGTTTGGGGAAAGGGAAAGGCCTGGGCACCCATTTCCATCCATTCCAACTGGCATTGGGGCCTACTGGCTCAGCACAGAGATCCTTGTATGTGTGTTGCACTTGTGGAACATCAGCACATAAAAAGCAAAGGAAGACGACTGGGGAGAGAGCCAGAGCGTGCATGCACTTGGGTCCGTTGTTCCACTTGGAGCAAGGCTGGGAATCAAGCCAGACAGGAGCCCCAAATGGGACTCAGAATGTGGGCCCTAAAAGAAAGGATGTTCGCAGCTTCTATATCCCATCTTCCTGTTCAAAACAACACTTCAAAGAGGCTTGGAAAAGTTGTGTAACACAAGCAGAGCCAAGTAATAGTTCACTATAAAAGACAACCATGCACACAGACACACATCTAAAATAAATCTACATCCATTTATTTCCGTTCTGACGCAGAGGCGCCAAGTCTGCACTTTAGCCTCCACAACACGCCTGGCTGGCAACTCCCTTTCCACAAGAGAGGGAAAATATGCAAACAGTCCTTATCAAGCCAAAACACGATGGGATGTAGTTGCAAACGCTTGCATTCAAAACCATTACTTCTGGAACTGTCTGCTAGCAAGAATGCAAAGAGGGCAACAACATGCAGTGGAGAGGAGTGGCTCTGGAACCAGTCGATTTTGGTTTGGTTTTAACAACATCCACTGAGGCTACAATCTCTCACTTGCCTGTGGCCAGCATGGAAATCGGAGAGCCAGTGTTGTACAGTGAAACTTGGCTGGTCCAAGTTCTAGTGCTCACGGAGCCCTAAAACTCACTGGGAGTCCTTGTCCCTGCCACTTCCAATCAACTTATCTTGCATGGTAATTGTACGGATAAAATACCAAGAGAGTGAGCCGTTATATGATTGCATATCTTTAACCCATTGGGAAAGGCATACAAGTATTGCTCATAAATAATGAAATTAAACAGAAAAACCCTTAAGAACAAACTTAGACCTGCTGGCTCAAACCAAAGGCTCACCTATTTGGATAAGGATTCTCTTTCCCACAGTGGCCAACCTCCTGTCTCTGGTCAACCCCAAAGCAGCAATTCTGTCCCACTGCTGTTCCACCACAACTAGATATTCAAAAGTGACCGATTTTGGGTCCTGGAAGGAGCATACGGCCACAGATGGCTTCATTCTTCTGGAAACTGTCCAGCTTTCCTTTAAAGTCATCAAAACTGATGCCTTTGTTGCAAATTCTTGTGGCAATGAAATCCACAGTTTAGCCAGGTCACCTTGCAAGGAACTGCATTTTATTCGTCCCAAATCAATTTCACGGAATGATTCCAAGTTTCAGTATTATGAGAGAGAAAATTTTGCCCTACCTTTTCTCCCTACCATGTATTGCTTTCATAATCTGTCATGCTTCCTCTTTTTTGCCTTGAAGCTCCAAATGTTAAAAAACCTTTTCTTCATTAAGACAGTTTCTTCTCCAGCCACTAGAAAGTTTTGTCTGCCCTCTTCTTGCCCCTTTTCCTGATTGCCCAATATCTTTTTTGATTTGCTAGTGATCAGTATTTCAATGGTGGCCACCCAAGACCTCTTACTCAGTCTGACAATTTAACAGTGGCTACTATCCCCTTCACGGATTTCTGCCTTGTCATGGCGAAGGGACTTGAGTAATTCAGAGATGCTATGGGCTATGCTGTGCAGGGACACCCAAGACAGAAAGGTCGTAGTAAAGAGTTCTGACTAAACGCGATTCACCTGGAGCAGGAACTGGCAAGCCACTCCACTTCTTTGCCAAGAAAACTATGGACAGAAACAAAAGGCTAAAAGATATGACGATGGAAGATGAGCCCCTCAGATTGGGAGGCATCCAACATGCTACTAAGGAAGAGCGGAGGACAAGGTCAAGTAGCTCCAGAGCTAATGAAGTGGTTGGGCCAAAGCCGAAAGGACACCCAGCTGTGGACGTGCCTGGAAGTGAAAGGAAAGTCCGATGCTGCAAAGAAAAATACTGCATAGGAACCTGGAATGTAAGCTCTGTGAACCTTGATAAGCTGGATGTGGTCAAACAGGGGATGGTAATAATCAACATTGACATCCTGGGTGTCAGTGAACTAAAATGGACGGGAATGGGCGAATTCAATTCACACAATTATCATACCTACTGTTGTGGGCAAGAATCCTGTAGAAGAAATGGAGTAGCCCGCATAGTCAACAAAAGAGTGGGAAAAGCTGTAATGGGATACAATCTCAAAAATGATAGAATGATTTCAATACGAATCCAAGGCAGATCTTTCACTATGAAGACTTACAACACCTTCTAGAACTGTCATCAAAGAAAGATGTTCTTCTCATTCTAGGGGACTGGAATGCTAAAGTAGGGAGTCAAGAGATAAAATGAACAACAGGTAAATTTGGCCTTGGAAAAAACGAAGCAGGGCAAAGGCTAATAAAGTTTTTTCAGGAGAACAAGTTGGTCATCACAAACACTCTTTTCCAACAACACACGAGGCGACTAAACATGGAAATCACCAGATGGGCAATACTGAAATCAGATTGATTATATTCTCTGCAACCAAAGATGGAGAAGCTCTATATAGTCAGCAAAAACAAGACCTGGAGCTGATTGTGGCTCTAATCATCAGCTTCATATAGCAAAACTCAAGCTTAAACTGAAGAAAGTAGGAAAAACCACTAGGCTAGTCATGTATAATCTAAACCAAATCCCTTATGAATGCACAGTGGAAGTGAAGAACAGATGTAAGGAACTCAATTTGGTGGACAGAGTGCCCGAAGAACTATGGATGGAGGCTTGTAACATTGTACAGGAGACAGCAACAAAAACCATCGCAAAGAAAAGGAAATGCAAGAAAGCAAAGTGGCTGTGTAACGAGGCCGTACAAATAGCAGAGAAGAGAAGAGAAACAAAATGCAAGGGAGATAAGGAAAGTTACAGAAAATGGAATGCAGACTTCCAAAGAATAGCAAGGAGAGACAAGAGGGCCTTCTTAAATGAACAGTGCAAAGATATAGAGGAAAAGCATAGAAAGGGAAAACCTACTATGATCTGTTCAAGAAAATTGGAGATACTAAAGGAACATTTTGTGCAAAGATGGACATGATAAAGGACAAAAATGGCAGGGACCTCAAAGAAGCAGAAGACATCAAGAAGAGGTGGCAAGAATACACAGAGGACTTATACCAGAAAGATCTGGATGTCCCGGGCAACCCAGATAGTGTGGTTGCTGACCTTGAGCCAGATATCCTGGAGAGTGAAGTCAAGTGGGCCTTAGAAAGCTTGGCTAACAACAAGGCCAGTGGAGGTGATGGCATTCCAGTTGAACTATTTACAGTCTTAAAAGATGATGCTGTTAAGGTGCTACACTCAATATGCCAGCATTTTTTGAAAACTCAGCAGTGGCCGGATGATTGGAAAAGATCAGTCTACATCGCAATCCCAAAGAAGGGCAATGCGAAAGAATGTTTCAACTACCGTACAATTGCACTTATTTCACACACTAGCAAAGTTATGCTCACAATCCTACAAGGTAGGCCTCAGCAGTACGTGGACCAAGAACTCCCAGAAGTACAAGCTGGATTTCGAAGGGGCAGAGGAACTACAGACCAAATTGCTAACAAGCACTGGATTATGGAGAAAGCCAGAGAGTTCCAGAAAAACATCTACTTCTGCTTCATTGACTACGCAAAAGCCATTGACTGTGTGGACCACAGCAAAGTATGGCAAGTCCTTGAAGAAATGGGAGTACCTGACCACTTATCTATCCCCTGAGAAATCTATATGTGGGACAGGATGCAACAGTGAGAACTGGATATGGAACAAGTGATTGGTTCAGAATTGGGCAAGGAGTACGACAAGGCTGTATATTGTGTCCCTGCTTATTTAACTTATATGCAGAATACATCATGCGAAAGGCAGAACTGGATGAATCCCAAGCCAGAATTAAGATTGCCAGAAGAAATATCAACAACCTCCGATATGCAGATGATACCACTCTGATGACAGAAAGTGAGGAATTAAAGAACCTCTTAATGAAGGTGAAAGAGGAGAGCGCACCTCCTGGCAAATAGAAGGAGAAGAGATGGAGGTAGTGACCGATTTTACTTTCCTGGGCTCCATGATCATTGCAGATGGTGACAGCAGCCACAAAATTAAAGGATGCCTGCTTCTGGGGAAGAAAGCAATGACAAACCTAGACAGCGTCTTAAAAAGCAGAGACATCACCTTGCCGACAAAGGTCTGCATAGTCAAAGCTATGGTTTTTCCATTAGCGATGTATGGAAGTAAGAGCTGGACCATAAAGAAGGCTGACTGCCGAAGAATTGATGTTTTTGAATTGTGGTACTGGAGGAGACTCTTGAGAGTCCCCTGGACTGCAAGGAGAACAAACCTATCCGTTCTAAAGGAAATCAACCCTGAGTGCTCACTGGGAGGACAGA